GGGCAATATGCTGACTCTGTAAACCGCTTAGAGAGGGCTGAAAGCCCTATGAAGCGGTATATAAGTCTAACTGCTATTGCTATTGCTATTACCTTGTGAGATGGGTTGGACTGAGAGAGTGACTGATCCAATCACCCAACTGGCTTTCATGCCTGCACTGGAATTAGAACTCACCATCTCCTGGTGATTGGCCCAAAGTCACCCAGCCAGCTTTCATGCCTAAGGCGAGACTACAACTCCCCGAGTCCTGGTTCCCAGCTCAGCACCTTAAGTGGCTCTGATCTAACCGTCAAGTTCATTGCAAGCTCCCTTTTTAAGATCCAATACTCATTTCAAGACTGTATCCAACCTGCCCCTTTGTCCTCCAAAAATAGGGGGGGTGTTATCAACTTTTTTTATTTCACTACGACGTGGGTTTGCTATGGTTAATAATTAATAATTCAGTGTATTTGTGTAAATGTGGGATCCTTTTAATCGCAGCTACACGTTCCTTACCAAGAATACTTCAAGCTGGCCCCACTCCTGGAATACCACCGAGTCATTAGCTTGGAGGAGTTTATGGAGAAGCTGGCACCCACCCACTGGCCCCCTGGCAAGAGGGGGGGCTATTGCTTCGAAGCGGCAGCTCAGAGGAGCCCTGACAAAAGGACTTGCCCCATGAAGGTAGGAGTTGTCCCCACCCCCTCTGCAACTTCTGAGGATCTGGGGGAATTCAAGAACTTTTCTACTTAAAAACGAAGATAAATGCAAGGAGTCCTCGACCACAATTGAAGCCCAGAATTTTCATTGCAAAGTGAGAAATTTGTTAAGGGAGGTTTGCCCCATTTTATGACCTTTCTTAACACAGTAGCTACTGTGTTTTCCAGAGTATGACACGCACCTTTTCCTCCCCCAAAAAGAGGGTGAAAATATGGGTGCGTCTTATACGCTGAATACAGCATTTTCAGCTGCCTGGAACACCACCCCCTTTGCAAAAATGGATGTGCAGGGGGTTTGGGAGGCCTGAAAAGTGCTCCTGGGGGCTGGGGAGGGCAAAAACGATTGCAAAACATATCGTTTTTTGCTAGTTTTTGCCCCCAGCCCCCAGGAGCATTCTACAAGCCTCCCAAAGCTTATGAATGTCCCGTTTTCACACAAAAATGGCCCATGTTTTGCTTGTTTTTGCCTTTCCCAGCCACTAAGAGCACTCTACAAGCCTCCTAAAGCAGTGTTTCTCAACCTTGGCAACTTGAAGATGTCCGGACTTCAACTCCCAGAATTCCCCAGCCAGCGAATGCTGGCTGGGGAATTCTGGGAGTTGAAGTCCAGACATCTTCAAGTGGCCAAGGTTGAGAAACACTGTAGTAAATGAATTGTGGTGAGTTAAGAACTATCTTTTTTTTAAAAAATAGTTTTTACTAAACATTTGTACCTTTAAAAACAAAAACACAACAAGAAGAAAAAAGAAAAAAAGACATACATAACAATAAGAAGATAAATAATTATACAGCCTTGTGTATCGGCATTTATGTTTAGCCTTTTGTAGTTCTTCTCCATTCTCCATTGCCTTCCTATCCATTCTACCTTCTCTAACAACATAACAGTAGTACTAACACTTGTAATAATATTAAACGTTCACATCACCGTTATATTTACATTGTAGTCAATACTTTAAGTTTGATAGTAATTCTCGTATTTTTCAGAGTATGACACACCTTTTTCCCCTCAAAAAAGAGGCTGAAAATCTGGGCGCATCTTATACACTGAATACAGCATTTTTTTGCCTCCTGAAACCCCGTCCCCGTCACCAAAGTGGACGTGCATAACTTGTAGGAAGCTTTCAGAGAGCTCCTAGGGGTTAGGGAGGGCAGAAATGAGCAAAAACCACCCCATTTTTTGCTTATTCCCCCCCCTCCCCCCCGAATTACAAGCCTCATAAGGGCTATTCATTCCCCCCTTTTTTTTTTTTGAAAAAAGGGGGGGCTGTTTTCACGAAAAACGGGCCGTTTTTGGGAGATTTGCAGAGTGCAAAAACTTTTTTTTTTTAATTTGCGTCTTCAAAACCTTGGTGCGTCTTATACTCTGAAAAATATGGTAGTTAAAAACCCCACAAACAAGGGCTATCTTATATGCTTTGTGAATTATTTCAGCCACTTCTTCTCCCCCCCCCCCCAATATTTCTATTCTGAGTTTAGCTATCCAGCTATCCAGGTAGTCCTCGACTTACAACAGTTCATTTAGTGACCAAAGTTACAACAGCACTGAAAAAAATGAACTGCATACCACTTTTCACACAACTGCTGCAGGATCCCCGTGATCATGTGATCATAATTCAGAGCTTGGCAACTGACTCACATTTATGACGGTCGCAATATCCCGGGGTCACGTGATCCCCTTTTGCGAACTTCCAACGAGCAAAGTCAGTGGAGAAGCCAGATTCACTTAACAACCGGGTTACTTACTTAACAACCGAAGTGATTCGTTTGAACAGCTGTGGCATGAAAGGTCGTAAAATGGGTCGGCGTTCAATTAACCAGTGTCTTGCTTAGCAACGGAAGTTTTGGGCTCACTTGTGGTCGTAACTCGAGTACCTACATGGATTTTTCAGGAAGGGTCCTGCCCTCCTTTTTCAACCTCCCATTTGTTTCCCTCTGCAGGACGGGAATCCCTTTGGGCCTTTCTGGGATCAATTTGCGGTGGAGTTCGATAGGTCGGAGATATTCGGAGGCCTCTCCTTCAGCGCCTTTTACAAGGACAGCTGGAACCGAAGGTAGCAAAGTTGGGAATTGCTCACGGGGCAGGATCCTGGGTCGACAATTGCATTTTAGTGAGATTAGAGAGGTGCACATCCTGCCCCTCCTCCCTGAATAAATGTTACATATTTATTCCCGCCTACCAGACATCTGGAAACCAGCCCTGGTACACAAATGAGCCCCATTCACCACCCAGGCTGTTACAACACGAAACAACAACGGACACACAGCCAGCACCAATCAACACCAATCTACCAATCATGATACAGCCACACAACCAATCATTCCAAAGACGGCAGCTCCGACCTATACCCGTGAAAATCTACACATATATATAGTCTCCCTTTATTTATTTATCAGCACAAATGCAACATATATATATATATATATATATATATATATATATATATATATATATATATAGATAGATGATAGATAGATAGATAGATAGATAGATAGATTATATATATT